GAGGTTGGATCTAATTGTTGGTAGCATTGAACGCAAGTATTAAAACAATTATAAATACAATAATCTTTAGACTTATAGTTTAGTCTAAGACATTAAACTTTACTATTTTTTAATTTAGTTGTTGCTCTTTGCATGAATGGCCATGGGCTAAGAGCATTGGCCACAAGAGGAGGAGGACACAGTTGAAAATGCATTAAGAACGAGCCATATTGGGAGCCTTCAATAATATACTTACACCACTGTGGAGGTTGGAAGTAGATGAGCTTCATAAAGCGAACCAGGTGTTAACAAGGCATGATCTAGCCATAATGCTTTGAACCAACCTTGTGTCATATTGGGCAGTACTTAAAGGAAGGTATGCTACATTGTGGCTTAACAACTTAAACATGTATATCTTGGGTTCCACAATTCCAACTAAAAGGTATATGTGACTTGGCTTTGAATTTCATAAGTATGATTATAGTTATTTGCTTTAGGTTGAAGAAATTACTTCTGATTTTCAATCTTCTATGTTCATCAAAGAATGTCATGATTTGATATATGTGATACTTAAATACTAGCTGACTTGACAGTAGAAAAGTTTGTTAGTGATTATCATGAAGTATGTTTTGACATAAATTATTTTTGTGCTTCAGTTGATCTTGAATCTGACTTTTTGATGTTTAAGGAATCTAGACCTCTTTGAACTAACTGACCTAGGGGATGAACTTGATGTGGATAATATATTGAATGAGATAGAGAATTATGAGGTTTAAAACAATCATCAGATGAAAGTACTTTGTTTTACATGATTGATGGAGAAAAAGCTGACTACTTTTTGAAAACTTTGTTTGAACATGTACTTGAATTTGTTTTCCACCAAATTCATTTGATTCTCATGAACACCTGACTATCACTATTTTTTACATATGCTACACTCGTAGTAATTTTTCTTCATGAGAAATATGTATATTTTCTATAGACAGCAGTGTGTTACTTTGAATATTTTGTTTCTTATTCTAATAAGAGAAGAACAAAGATGCATTGGCTCAGCCTTTAGACTCTTTTAACTTTCAATCACACCAAATCAAGTTAAAAACTTAAAATAATTATATGGTGGGAGGCAAACAATTGGTAAGTGAACACGTTATCTTTGTTTTACCAAAATTTTGTTTTGGTTTTAGTATGTTTCAGGTTAAAGAAAATTGCAAAACAAATCTGATCGATCCGTTTAGTTGATCATTCCGTGGAGAGGAGGTGTAGTTAAAATGTTTACAAAAAAAATTATTAAAACAATAGTAGTAAATTCATAGTGAAATTTTTGAGTACTTTGTGAAATAATACTTGTTAGTTCCTCGTAAATGTCGATGACGAATTTACATAGAATCACTTGTTAATTTGTTGTAAACTATTACGACAAGTTAACATTGACATCCACGTTAATTTGTCTTACACGCTATGCAAACATAGACGTCAATTTAACTTTAAAATGTCACGATTACTTTACAATGAAATTATACTTGGATTTTATGATGAAACTATACTTCTTAAGTTAACTAGAAGTTTAAGACGAACATATATGCAGCAAGGAAGTTACGACTAATTGTTGTTATGATGGGTGATCTATGACAAATCCGTAATTGTGGTTAATTCATCCTAACATGTCATTTGCGACAAATTAACCATGAATTTGGCACTCATATAGCATATGTTTTCTTGTAGTGTTAATCTTAAAAATATTTAGCTTTTATTTTGTCGAATTACATATTAAACACACATATATCCTTATTATTAAAATAAGAACATTTTAAGAGACTAATCTTATGTTAATGTGTTATTAACAAAAAAAATGTTATTTCCTATGTGGCAATACCATATTCCTTCTCAGTCTCTTTAAGTAAAAACCCACTCCTTATTAAACTTATTACATTCTTTGCCAGTAAGCATTACTTGTAGCTTAGCATAATGTTTTAATAGTATGTATTAGTAATGTGCACTCTGAATGTAGACAAAGGAAGTAATCGGTTATTTCATAATGTGTTTAATATTATTTTTAAACCCGTTGACATGTATTATATCATTACTACTATACTCGAATGTTGTTTACATGTATACTCGAGATCACAGTACATCAAAACCGGTTTTTATTATACTCAAATGAGATTAAATTTTGAAATCGGTTTACTGTATTTTTCTTAATGAAGATTATAATTTGAAATCGGTTTAATGTATCTTTACATGTGATCTGAATGAAGATGATAGCAAAACCGAGTGTTGCTTTTGCTGTGTTACTTTTGGATCATTCAATGTTAACGTGTTTTATATCATATTACATTAAAGACCGGAAATAATGTCATTTTCATGTATCGAATATATCACACTATATATTACATCTCCTATGAAAATAATATTTACCATTGAAACCAACACATATATTCATATTTTGATCATCACTAGTTGATTTTTAATTTAATTTTGTTGACTAGAATCTCAGTTTGTTTCATATTTAGCACTAATAAATTTGCATATCAACGATCAAGGCAAGGTTTTTTTTTTATGAATTGATTTTGAATATAAAAGGGGATGTGAATATTTTCCTTGGACAACAATTTTAATTGGTTTACGAAAATAATTTTGGCGAATAGTTATAATTGCCTTAGTCCCGCGTCTTGCATATATAAATAGAATGCCATATAGTTACATCTCCTCATCACCGTCTCCTTCTCAAACTATCCTTACCAAAACACACTCATGGCAGACTTTAATTTTGTTGCCAATCTGAAACCTTTTAAGACAATGTGGAGAGTGAGGGTGAGTATTGCTTGATTGTGGAAGCAATACTCTGGTGCTGATGGCCTAACCATTGAAATTGTTCTAATTGATTCTAATGTAAGTTTCTAGCTACACTATTTTTGAATGTTATATGAAATGTTTACTTATTTTGACGAGTAATCCATGTAATTTTGTTTTCATTAAATTTGTTTTGTTATGTATAGGGAGATAAGATTCATGCAAGTATGAAGAAGGATTTGGTGAACCAATTCGACCATTTCCTAGCGCAAGGGAAAACATTGACTTTCTCCAACTTATCTCTAAATCATTTTGATGGCTCATACCAGACAACAAACCATCTTTATAAGATCAGTTTCTTGTCAACAACTTGTGTGAGAAGTTGTGAAGATTTGCATGGAGGCCTTAATGACCAAGTAACCATGAAACTGTTGGACTGACTAAAGATTGGTTAATGTTTTAACATATCACATAGATATTTATGGGGTTGTAGTATGAGTTGGATTTCTTGAAGAATATATGACATAATCTACTGACGGGAACAATGGTTTTAAAATATGTTTTTTTGTAGTGAACATAGAGTAAGCATTCCATGTTTGATTTTTTTTTAAAATTTATTTGTTTTTAAGTGTTCTGAAATATTATAATTTTTAATTGATTACACTAACGTCTTCATTAAATGTGTCACTTATGGAGCACTTGCTCATGTTTTCCAAAACTTTATGGAATTTTACAGATGCAAATGTTACAATACTATATTTGTTACAGTTTTGAAAAATTAATTGGAGAGTAGGTAATGTATTGTTCTTATTATATAAAGAGTTGATATCCCCTGAATATTTAACTATCCTTGTTTTGTTTATCATGATAAAGTCGATTGAAGAACGTGAAACATTGATGGGTTTTCCAAAATTATTTTTGAACCCAATGATGTTCCAGAAATCGCTGTTTTTAGAAAATGGTTTATCATTTCGTTCAGTGAATTTTGTAAATACTTTTGTTTAGTTTGGTAAGCTGATTCTTTGCTATGGCTTTTTATATGATTGCGAACAAGGAGTTCCCAATGCAATTCTCAAAGCAATTGTAGTTTTATCTGGTTTTTTATAAGTTTCTTAATTTGTTTCATTTATTATTTTATTATTAGTTTCTTAATTGTTTCATTTATCATTTTATTATCTTATCTCCTATGTTTCGTTTTATTTTACGTTGATAATTTATGTTATGAAAGTATGATTCTATTACTTATGTTCTAAAGAGTTTTTGTCACAAATATAAACTTTAAAAATAAAAATAACCAAAATTAATTTAAATGTTTTATAAAAATAAGTAAACTTTTGGGTTAACTAATCCTATAATTTTTTGTTTAGAGTTGAGGAGTGAGATTTTGGGAATAGAATTTTAATTTAAAAAACCAAAAAAAACTGAAAATTTTCAAAATAAAAACTCTGCACCGGGCGTGGAAGACCACCTAATTTATATTATAGGATATATATCTTTGATAGATCAAAATATCAAATAACATAATCTTAAATATAAAGTCAAATATATAATGTTTGATCGATCTATAAGACTGAAATAAATAAAAAACTTTATTTGAATATAATATTCAAATATAAAAAAAAATATTTTAAAAGAAACTTCCGAAGAGAGATAAGAGATCCGAATAGTCTAAGTAATAGTCAGGTCAAACATATTAATACTTAATCGGTCAAATTTCGCATGTTAAACTATTCTTGTGCTGAAAATTCTTAGCAGTTCAGTCTGCTTGTGGCCCTTTAAAAAGGGTACGAGACTGACAACAAAAAGCATGTACACACAACTACAATAAGCATCTAAAATCAAGACGCAGCGACTTATGGCGAGCGACAGTACTGTTTGGAAGTTCAAAGGAAACACTGCCACTAGTGATGCCGCTGCGGTAGCATTGAGAAAACTTGTTTTTAAGATGTTCAGAAACTGCAACTTGAACAGCGGGAAACCCATTTTGGCCCCAAGTCCCGGCGACCCCTCCGCCTCTCCCAGCTTTCGGACTTGCCCCGAAGCAGAGGAAGCCGTGGCTGCAGCCGCACGCTCCGGCATGGCTAATTCTTACGCACCCAGCCCCGGAATTTTTAAGGCTAGAAGGTCTCAGTCGAGATTTAAAAATTTATTTATCCTCCCAACAAAATATATCAAAATAAATTTTAGATCGATGGTTCATTAAGTAACTTTATCCACCTTTGTTTTCTCAGGGCTGTCGCGGATTATCTCAACGGAGAGCTTCCAAAGAAGCTGAAGGCGGAGGATGTGTATATCACAGGTGGTTGCAACCAGGCAATAGAGATCGTAATAGATTCCCTAGCCGGGAATCCTGTCGCCAACATTCTGCTTCCAAGGCCGGGCTACCCTCACTATGATGCTCGTGCTGTCTATAGCTGCATTGAGATTCGCAAGTACGATCTCCTTCCCCAAAAAGATTGGGAGATCGACCTAGACGACCTCGAGGCTGCTGCTGATGAGAATACCGTTGCAATGGTACTTATCAACCCCAACAACCCTTGTGGAAATGTCTACAGCTATGATCATCTGAATAAGGTATAAGTCGTATTCGCATAATAAGCATAACGCCTATATTTACGTGACATGTTAGACTCATAACGAGTAAATAATCTAATAACCTTATTTTTATGAACCAACCTTTAGGTTGCGGAGATGGCTAGGAAACTTGGTATAGTTGTGATATCTGATGAGGTATATAAACAAGTTGTATATGGAGATAGACCTTTTATTCCCATGGGGATCTTTGCATCGGTAGCTCCAGTGATCACGCTCGGATCCATATCCAAAGGATGGGTCGTCCCGGGTTGGAGAATTGGTTGGATGGCCATGAATGATCCTAATCGCATCTTGAAATCAACAGGGGTTAGCTAAAAAATATAATACCACTAAACTTTTTAATCTAATAGAGTTGATATGATCCTTGTAGTCTTCTTGAATAGTCTTCTATACTATCCCTAATTAGGAAGAAGTTGTTTGTAAAACGACACCCTTTTTAATTATATTAGTCCTGCACACTAATTAAGTATGAAGAGAGTCAAATTAAAGTTTTTGGCATTTTGCTCACAACAGGTTATTCAAGCTATAGAGGATTGTTTAGACATAACTCCACAACCTTCACTTATTCTCCAGGTTTGTGCCGTCGCAGTGGCTATTATATGTAGATTTAATTATAAAACGAAAATAGTTTAATTAAATGATTTCTGCGTTGTGGAAAAAATAAATATAAGGTAGTTTGATAAATTTTGACGCTAAAGTATTTACGATTTCCTTTCTGGAGATAAATTAATGAAAAATATTTCTTAAATTATTTTTTTAACACCATTTGGATATAATTTGTAACATCATTAATTTATATTATAATATTAACATTAATTAGACCCCTAAAAAGCTTTGTTATATATGTAAATTTTTTATATATAAGTACATTTTTGAAGAGAATGAAAATTAAAGTTTTAATGATACCTTTTGTAAATACTTAGCTACGAATTTATAATATTATATGTGTGGATTGAAAATGTTAACAAATGTTAAGTCACAAATGTTAAGTCTGCAAGAAATAATATATATTGAAAATGCATAGAATTCTTACTATATATACTTTATATATATATATATATATATATATATATATATATATATTAATCTATCTAAATAATTGAGTATAGAGAATGAAGAGAAATTCTTAATATATATATATATATATATATATATATATTTATTTGAGTGTATGAGAATTCGCTATATTCTATTTTAATTTGTTATTTAGAATATATTATATTATATTATGTATATAAAAGTTTATTTAAATAAATGAGTTTGTCTTTGTGCAACTTGGTAGGAGGCACTTCCGGATATATTAGAGAAAACCCCTAAAGAGTTCTTCGACAAGAAGATTAAAGCAATGCGATACTCCGTAGAACTTTCATGTGAGAGGCTAAAAGACATCCCTTGTCTCCTTTGCCTCAAGAAACCCGAATCTTGTTCTTACTTATGGGTATTTTCATTTCCTAGATTTTTCGTTTATTTCATCCCCCTTGATATAAGTTAAATTCAGGATCATAATAAAACTGACTGATTTGACCGGTTTATTCCACAGGTAAAACTTGATACGTCAATGTTGGTTGATATTAAAAATGACTTTGAGTTTTGCATGAAGCTAGTTAGTGAGGAGAGCGTCCTCTTGATTCCAGGTGATTATCGCTTTGATTAAGTATTATATAAACCTTTGGCCTCCAAATCCAAACATCCCCTCGAAAATAATATTTCTTCCCAAAAAATTAACTATTTGATGATAGAAGTTGTGTTGCTTATTTATAATTATAAGGTTTGTGTTCTTGCTTATCTATAATTATAAATTTTGTTTTGTAGGGGTGGCTCTAGGGGCTGATGGTTGGGTGAGAATATCGATTGGAACCGACGGGTCAGTACTAGATGAAATATTTGACAGATTAAAAACTTTCTACGATCGCCATGCAATATCCAAGGAACCCAACCAACTCAATGGGCGTATTGCAATGATCAGAAAACGGAAAATCATTTTTCTTAAGCCCTAAAGTCACAAGGGGTTATTTCTAACAGGGAATAAACTAAATGTTGGAACTTTTGTCATCTTTTATCATCAATAAAAAGTTGAATTATTGACTAAGTGTTAGAAGAACTCAATCATTAAAGAATTGTTAACACATAAATGCACTTTCTTAAACATGGTACATAACATATACTTTCAACTTTTGAAACATTTTTAAAATGTATAAAAGGTTTTCCACCATAGACGACAGTTAGGATTAGGTTGTAACTGTAAAAGCAAGAACTATGACACATATATGAACTACAAGGTATATAAGAGAATAGTTTTACAAAAATATGTGTATATACTAGTATTCTTTTAAAGTGAACATACAAGTCTCTCTTTAAACAAAATGCCAACAAGATTAAGATCCTCTTGATTTGTTATCCTAGCCTCACATGTCTTAAGATCGAATACAAGATCTCTAGAACCTCTCCCCTTAGCCCTTAGTGCTTTCACTCGTTTACAAACTTATGAAACCTACTCCTATGCTAGGAATACAATTCTAGTGACAATTCTAATACATGGGTCATGTGTGATTATATATACATTATAGTCAAATTGGCTAACCTAACCAACAATATTCACTAATTCCCAATATGCTAAGTTCCCTAAAACTCTTACTAAGCCTTTATGAACTTCCCTTCTTGAGATATCCTTTCTTCAAGGTGGATCTCTTCATGCTTATCCTCTATGAAGTCTTCATATTAACTCCACTTTGATCGCCAAATCATTCTTTAAATCTTGATATCCACTTCATCTTGTTCATCCGCATGCACACTCATTGTCCTAAACTCTGCTCCATTCGTTGTTGTACTTATGTCTGTATCAAAACGTACACCTGATCGTTGCACCATCAATCTCCATATTTTTAGTTTTCGATGCTCATTAAGTACCTGCATAAATCAGCTTCACAGAATCCAAACAACATAGATATCCTGAATAATACGTGCATTAAGAAAAATATTTCAAGACATGCGAGTTTTAAGAGAAAGAGAATTACAACACTGAGAAAAACCAACACCAACATTTTTTCTCTCTTACTCCCCCATAAACACAGACAAAAAAAACAACACTCTCCTAGAAACTAAGGCCCAGTTTCATCTCCAGCTGGTCCTTGTGGATTCTCTGCCTCATCTCCACTTGCTTGAGAGCATTCAAGGTTAAACAAAAATTTAATGATTTGAACCAAAACAAACTAGATAGAAGACTTACTTGGATGCATCGATTTGGCAATCTGAGTTACCATGGTTGTCAGAGTCTGCATCGCCATGACGAATAGCATTTGTCACTTCTTCCAGAGCAATATGAGCTTCTTCTTCATCAATGGGTTCCTTGGGAGAAGAAATTGTTTCCAAGTGAATGAGTTTGAACTTTCTTGCTGCTTTAGGAGCACCCTGAGGTGGTACATAGTTTTGAGCCGAGGGTTGCACTGGTCGAGATGAACTGGAGGGTGATTAAGAATTTGATGTATTCTTTGATGCAGAGGCTATTTTTTCCTTTCTTCCTAACCTTTCTCTGAGTTTCCTCAGCAGCTTCTCGTTCTTACTCCTGATTTTTGAGATACTTCTCTCCAAGACGAGAATACTTCTTGTACTGAATCACAGATTCTCCCTTGTCTTTCTCTGTAGCACATGTTGGCTCTGAAGAACACCAAAGATGGTTCAAGATAATATCAACCACCTTGTGTCTTTCTTTCCTCCCTCGTTCTTAATGACTCCAAGATTTGGAACCTGAGGGTAGATCATCTCCCCTACGACGACTCGAAACCCATGAAACATCTTGTAGATGAGTCTTACTGTATAAACTGACATAACATTCTTGTTAGATGATGGAACCCATTTATACGCTGATAGGATCATCAGAGAAGTCTTACACTGAGACAAGGGACAAGTCGTTAGATTCTTTAGCCCATGTTTTCCTTATGTCAGAAAGTATGCCAGATCCTCACTCGAGAGTGCATCAATTGTTTCATCAGCTTCTATTTTATCCTTTATCAACGATTCAAGCTTAAAGAACTCGTTGATCACATCTAGGGAGAACTCAAACTTCTGACCTCTCTTGGTAACTTCTACCTTTTCTTTGGAGGTTCTGGTCAACTTGTTTCGGAGTGCTGCTTAGAACTTCTTAACCACTTTAGGAATGTATCCAAAGTTTGTGACCGTCTTCCAAGATTATCCTTTCTGATTATCTCCAGATAACCCCATGTATCATCAACTTCTAAATCCACATATCACTCTGGTATGATTTCTCGAGTCGAGAAGCTTCATACCTTTGTCCTTCCAGAAGCTCAGCGTTTGCAGATCTGCGAGTGGTCTTTTAAGATGAATATTCTGCTGGAGTCTTTGAGGCATAAGTTAAGTCATCATATCTATTGCAGTTTATTTTTGTGCTATATTCCTCTTGGTGTTATTCCCCTGAATCGACTGCCCAGCCTTTCTCTTCTTTCCTTTGGCCATTTTCTTGATATCGATCAGAAGCTCCACGTTTTCAACTTAAATCTCCTGGACCTCAGCTGACTCTGTTTTTTTTCTGAGTCATCCCCTTTGACAGAGAAATCACCATGGGGTACCTCTTTTCCTTTCCCTCCAGTCTTTTTGATTAACTCCCTGGGATCTGTAGATGACATGGGTTTCCTTAGGGTTTAAATATCCTAATATAATCTTAGCAAATTACCCTATAAAACAACTACAATAATCTTGCCAGGAGAAGTCGAGTTGAAGTACTTAGGGATCGAATCTACAGGGAGAATGGGCACACAATAAACTCAATACGGTCTTGATTATTCTAGGCTAGTAATTAATATAAAGTAGTGAATATTAAAAATAGAGAATTTGTTTGTGATGAAAGGATGGGTGCTAGATCTAGTGTTTGGCATGTGGATTGTAATAGGTAGGATACAATGAAAGCTAATACATGAGGAATCAATCGCCTACGAATATGATTGTCGATCGATGGTGGAACACCAATATTGATCGACGATTGATACTCCACTAAAATTGGTCGACCAGCTTCCGCATGTATCTAGCAATCATAGCTCAATCAGAATATGGTTCAAGCAAACAACCTACTGTCGTAGTTTTCTATGTTCTAATTTCAGGATTTAGTTAGCTACTCTAAATCACATAGATTAAGAATATTCTAATCAATAGATATTAGTTCTTCTAGCAATCCTAGTTTTGGGCTAATCCATCAATACCACACAGAACCCTAAATCTAACAAGTGGATATATTCAGACATGAAAGTTTATAGCATAAACTGAATAGAATAGAAAGAAATAAGAGAACCGAAGGTTTTCCAGGAGGACTCTAAAGGAGTTCCTCCCTTCTCTCCTAAAACTAAGAACAAGAATCAAAGAAAACTCAGTCGTCAACAATGGTTTAGAAAATACATAAATAGGATTTCAAATCGTCCAGTCGGTCATTAAATATACTCGGCCCGCGTTCTGACATCTCTGTCGATCGACACGTAGGCTGCACCGTCGATGACAGTCCTTCATCTCCTCAACAACTTTTTCTCACGAGACAGACTAACACTCTTTAGTAAAACGGGTATAACGTTTGATCTAACTGTTGGATTGACTTCAAACTGGTGACATTGGAAATCTAACTCAATTATCTATCATATTTTGAAAATATAAGTTTAATCTCACAATAGCTAAACATCTGACATGTGTGTGAAGTTCTACACATCCAAAAGGCTCCAGAATCACCAAAGTTCTCTAGAACGTACATGAACCTGTAAATAATCTAAAACATAGCTTAGAAACATATAATAGAATCCAAACGGAATCCATAATATGGTCTAAAACTTGTAAATAGTAAGGTATATCAGTAGATTCATCGATTTCTTCTAGAATCACTTAGGGAGATTGACCTTCTTGTTCAGATTTTCCTTCCTCCTTTTGTTTTTCTTCCTTATCAAGTTCCATCGGATCTGAATCATCTGATAACTTAGTGTTAAACTTCTTTTTTGCGGTTGCAAACGCGTCTGAGATGGTTTGAGAGGTTTGGCTCCTTCGTAATGTTGCCAGTTCCTCTTCATCATCAGAGTAGTTGATATGATGCATATTTACATAGTTTTAGCATTTCATTTTGTACATAAATCATCATATATGTTTAGGTTTAGACATCTTTAGGATCCATATTGCATTCATAAGTCTTTCTCAGGTGTTGGAGTGTCCTATTGAGCTTTTAGAGGTGTTTAGAGATATTTGTGATGCGAAAGGGTGAAAGATGAACATGGATGGAGACCTTAAAGATATCTTTTGAAGCTCATATTTTGGGAGTATATGGGAAATTGTGTTATATTTCTAATGGAAGTGGTTTCAAGTCATTTGAAGTTGTATTGGAGGAGTTATGATCAATCTACTAGGCGCACACAAGTGGTCAAGGTCTTGCTCGGGCTCGCCTGCTCGGGTACCAGCACCCGCGCGGTCGAGAATGGAAGGAGCTAAATGGTCTTGCTCGGGCTGGCCTTCTCGGGTACAAGCACCCGCGCAGTCGAGGAGAGAGCAGGGCGAGAGGCTTGCTCGGGTACCATCACCCGGGCCGAGTCGGTTTGGACCAGAAATTTCCCAGATTTTTATTTACCCTTTTGGCCTTTTCACATTAAAACCCTTGTGTCTCCTAGGGCATATAAATACTCTTGTAATCCTTTTTTGGAATCTTATCTCATTTTCTCTCAATAATTTTGCCTCTCATTAATTTTGCCTCTCAGTGTAAAAAATTTAATCTTTATATCAATTTAAGAAAGTTTTCATCTAAATTTCTTCTTCTCTTGCTCATTCATTATCATGATTAGTCTTGACTCTCATATGGGTTTAAGGCTTTACATGGAGATTAGAGAGTAGTTAGCTTTGGGATTCATGTATTTAGGTGACTAGAGTGATTAGATGATGATCTAGGGTGTATAGGGTTAGATCACTCATGTTCTATGCATATTACTTTGTGCTGAATGCTATTTTAGACCTGATCATTCTAGAA